TTTTTTTTTTTTTTTTTTTTTTTTTTTTTTTTTTTTTTTGGCTACTTCAGGCTGCCTTAAGGGCAGGTCTCGTGCAGCTTCTGGAGTTAGGAATTGAACTGCAGTCCTATGTGCCTGACTGCATTTACCCAAGTGGCGCTTTAAACAACAGAGCTATCTGGCAAAACCCCTCCTGTCCTGTATTTGGAAGAAGCTGTTTTTAGAGTCTTTTCTGACACAAGCATTGACATTACTGTATCTACCCTTTGAGTCAAGTTATTGTCCTTTCTTGGAACTCTAGGGGCTGGTGTGGATGATCTTTTATAATTTCTGTTTCTAATTTAATAAAAATTTCCATTTGTAGAGATTTCAGTGAGTATCCCATCCACCCCTTTATTCTATAAGAAGAAACTAAGATCTGTAGATAGGAGCTGAATTTATTTAATATCATGAAGTAAATTATTTGAAGAAGCCAGATTAGTAGCAGAGTTCATTGTCTCTTTGTCCAGTGTTGATGTTCTTCTTTTTTTCATTACTGTGGGTTGAACTCAGGACTTTTACACTATAGTACATTCCAGCCCTTTATATTTTGAGACAGGGTCTTGCTAAATTGCTCAGGCTTGACATCCTTCTGCCTCAACCTCCCAGAGTACTGGGATTGTGGACAGGTAGCACTGCACCTGACTTTCAGTGACCTTTATAGCATCCTATTGTGTTTCTGTCGTGACAATTTCCATCTGTCTTTTACTTTATAGCTGCATCTCCCTTTCATGCTATCCTCTGTTGCTGCCACTTCCTCCTCCTCCTCCTCTTCTTCCTCCTCCTCCTCCTCTTCCTCCTCCTCCTCTTCTTCAACTGGGAAAAGAAGTATATATTTAGAATTAGCCAGCTGGACTCAATTTAGATGATCCCAGTTTTGTTGGCAACATTGAATGCATCATAACTGGGAGCCAGTGAAACATATGTGTTCTTCTCTCCATCAGGCCTGATTAGAGTATTGACCTTGGCAACATCGATGTCATAGAGCTTCTTTATAGCTTATTCGATTTGGTGCTTATTGGCTTTGACATCCACAATGAACATGAGTGTGTTGTCCTAGATTTTTCTCATGGCTGACTCTGTGGTCAGGGGGAACTTGATGATGGCATAGAGGTCAAGCTGGTTTCTCCTGGGGGTGCTGTTCTGAGGGTATCTGGGCTGCCTCTGCAGCCGCAGTGTCTTGGGACGGTGGAAGGTGGGTGACGTTCGTATCTTCTTCTTTTTGTGGCTGTGGAAGCCTTTCAGCATGGCCTTCTTGGCCTTCAAAGCTTTTCCTTTGGCTTCAGCTTTGGGAGGGGCAGGGGCTTCCTTCTTTGCCTTCAGCGCCGTCTTGGTAAAAAAGTGTTGCCTCTTCTTTGCCAGAGTTTGTTTACTTTGATTTTCTTATCCTAATGGCAAAAAGTTAAATAGAATGAGTAAATGTGTGGGTGTGAACTCTTTGTTCTTGAACTAGTTGGCCTTAGCACTGTATTTGGGAAGATAATTAGATGAAAACCAGGGACAGGAGTTTCCTACACAGCCTTATGAGGATTAGATGGAGGTGGAGTGGGAGTGAAGTGGGGAAGTCTGGTTTCTGGATGTGAGAACAGTCTTCGCAAGGTTATAGAAGTTGTTTCTAAGGGATGAAGCATACCCCAAAATTCTTGGCTTGGTGGTGAACATAGTAACTAAACCAGTGACCAGAGAAAGGACATGTAGGTGTTGCAGCGTCTCATCCTTCTGGAGGCCTGAGTGCTCTGGCCCAAGTCCTTGCATATTCTCTTGGCTCTTAGAGCCAGTTTTGGAGCTAGACTAGGCCCTAAGTAGCAGCTCCAAGCAGAAGCACTGCTTCCATAGGTTATGATGAGCTCATGGTAGATGAGGAGCCAGGACAGCTGCGTTCCAGTCCTGACTTCCCCAATGGGTGACCTCTGAGCTTCAGTTTCTGCTCTGTTGTGGAGAAATTGTGCTTTTATCCTTTACAATCTTAGAGATTAATAGTGAATTAAATGTATATAAAATATAAAATATGATCTCTAATGAGAACTTAAGAAATGTGTATGAAATGATTATGTAAGTTATTAGCATAACCAGCTATTTCTCATGGAAACTTGTGATTTGAGTAGTTAGTCGTTTGGATCAGCTGATCTCCTTGGACATGACCACCTTTGCTGTTCTAGGAATACTTCTTGATTCAGAACGGAGGAAGTCTGATGCCAACTCAGTCATGTCTCCCCTGAGGATCTCCTTGATTCAGGATATGAGGTCAGTCCGGGCCACCAAAATCCAATTTTAAGTTGTCGCTTTGGTGTCCACTTTACCCAATCAGATCTCAGTGGCTTTTACAGAATCACAACTACCAGGAAGCCCTCCTTATTTTTCTCCTGCTTCTTTATGCATTTGTCAAGTTGTATAAACAGCTGGGTTTCCTGGCATTTTTGGAGAACTGTACCAGGTGAAGGAGCATAGGAGAGTATCTCAAGGCTCCAGGGCTCAGAATTAGTCTCATTTTTTAGGACTGTCTTGTCTTTATCCTCCAAATTATGGTGAACTTGTCTGGTAAAGCCATACTGAAGCCCAGAATTTGGAAAAAAGAGAGATAGACTCTCATTGAGTGGCATAGGGCTTCCTCTAGGCCTCAGTGGCTTTGCAGGTGTGGCATTGACAATGAGTTCATCTTCCATCTTCACTTCCCTTTCCTGGTTTGGTTTTCTTTCAGGCACATCCAGAACATTGGGGAAATCAAGACTGATGTAGGGAAGGCCAGAGCATGGGTGCGACTCTCCATGGAAAAAAAGCTACTTTCCAGACACCTGAAACAGCTTCTCTCAGAGCATGAACTCACCAAGTAAGCCACTCCGCTTGGAGTAGGACTGGGCGGGCAGATTGGAAACCCCTATGTGGGGAGGCAGAGCACTCAGTGTGTCCTTGCTGCTGCATTCAGTGCAACTGAAATTGCAAAAGGTTTGCAGCATTTCTTCTCCCTCTAGCTAGAAAATACTTTCTTGCCAATCTGTATCCCTAAAACTAGCTTTGTTTCAGAGGCAACAAAGGCAGACATGGTTATACATGCCTGTAACTCCAGCAGTATGGGAGGCTGAGGGAGGAACATCACAGCTGAGCCCAGCCTGGGTGATTTAGCGAAATGATAAAGGGTTAGGGATGTGGCTCAGTGTGAAGGCCCTGGTTTCAATTTCCAGTACTACCAAAAGTAAATAAACAAAAAGTAACAAGAAATGATGGAGTCTTTCATTCCTTCCTGTATTCAGGTGCTATGTATAAGCCATTTCTTCTGTTCCTGTTTCTTTCCTGCCCTAAGGAAAAAGGCTTGGAGAATTAAAAGGAAACTTCTGAGTTATTTCCTTATTTTTTTGTTCTTTCCTGAACCCATGGCTGCCCAAAGCAACCTTGGCCTTCCTCTCTGGCCCCTCCCGGTGTCTCCCTAGAACTTAGAGGGTTTTTAGATAGCAGTTGTAGGCCCTCTCCCTCTGTGCCTTCTACCCAGAAAGAGGGAAGGAGACCAAGGCCTTTACACTCCTGGGAGATCCTAAATTTAGGGTTTTCTTAGTTTTTTCATCCCCTGCATTCTGTCCATTCCCTCATACTAGAGGAAGAGGGGAAAGGAAAGTTTCTTTTTTCTTGCTGTCTTTTCAGTTTTCTTACTGTCTTTTCAGATACAATATTTTTGGCTCTTTCTTCATTGGTAGGCTATTAGGCCTTTTTTTTTTTTTTTTTCTTCAAACATCCTTTCAAAGGTATTGTTTAGAGTGTGACTTCACCATGGATGATTAAGCAGAGGAATAGACTTTGGAGGGAATTTTGTGTAAGCTAGTTGATCTCAAGATCTGATTTTATCCAAAGTAAAATATAATATTTAAACTATTTATTATGTGTATAAACCACAGCAATTAACCAGGCTTAAAATGTTGATAAAAATTAGAGAGCTCACTTGAGAAGTTAGGAAATAGCAATTCTGACAGTGGCTTAATTTGTCTCCCTAAAGTGACAAAATTTAGGAATAAAATATAAAGATTGGAAGAGCAACTGGAAGAGAACAGTTGAATATGTTAGCCTAGAATGTGAAAGGGAAACATTTGTATACCAGATTCTAGAGGACCTCAATGTCTGCTGAGAAAATGTGTCATTGCAGCTGTGTAGACATCAGGGTCTGACAGGATGAGTTATTCTCATGGACCCATGTGAATGTCACCTGTCAGGAGAGGCTTAGTCAGCAGGTGGACAGACTGAGAGGCAAGTGGAAGGGGTTAACACATGAACTTTCTGAAGGCCAGGGCCTGGGTTGGCCTAGGGCATATGAGTTTAAGGTCTTGGCAACAGCAAATGAAGCACAGACCTTGGTGAGGAAGCTGGGCTTCGTTTTTTAAAGCTGCAGCCCTGTTGGAAACGATAAGCTCAGTTTACTCAAATACAGTGTCTTCTTACATAACTGTCTGACCCCTATGCTACTCCAGTGAGTGGGAAATGAGAGTTTCGCTTCCACAGATTGCTGTTTGAGTGAGGTACAGTATAAGAAAGAGAAAAGGGACTCCTTCAAGTATTACTTTGTTTCATGTTGCTATAGAGTGCTGAGTCCTTTATAAAGAAAAGAAGTTTCCTTAGCTCACAGTTTGTGAAGCTGAAAGTACAGGATCAGGCGGCTCCATCTGTTTGGCCTCTTGTGAGGGCTTCCTTGGTTGTATCACAGCGCAGTGGAGAACTGCAAAAGAAAACAGCCACAGGCAGTAGGGACGCAGTCAGTGTGTGAAGTAGCCTTCATAACAACCTACTCTTAGGAGAACTCCATGAGACAAGTAACCTGGGGGTGATGCCCTGTGACCTCATGCCCATTCAATTAGGCCTTAATTCTTAAAGATTCTGTCATCTTAGCATTGCCAGATTGGGGACCAGGCTCCCAGCATCTGAACCTTTAGGGGACACATTCAAATCATAGTATTCTTTGTTCTGTATCCTCTGATCTTTCTCCCCAGTTTACTTAGACCCCAGCCCTATCATACTATTCGGTCTTTTCAGGATGTCTTCAGCCCCTCTATTTCTATATGACTCTAGTCTCCATCCTCCCCCCACCTGTCAGCCCCTTGGGGTCCAGTTAGTTTTCATTTCTGACTTTTTCTTAGCTTTCCCAGCAATGTGGTCTGTTACTCCTCTAGGCATGCATAACATTCATTATAGTATTGTTTTACCACTGATAGGCCATAATCATCAGTTTGCTTAGTGCTTATTAAAATGTGATTTTATTGAGGGCATGAACTATGTACCTTAAGCAGATTGCTTAGTCCTTACTGTTCAACCACTGCACATAAAATATATGCATAGCTGTATAGACAAGAAGAGAATAGCCTTTGGAGAATATATTTTGATAGAATGTTCTGGAGTCTTCAGGACTTCCAACTACCTCCTAAGACTGCAGATGGGAGATGGGGTAGGGCAAGGGGGCCAGATATTCCTGGAACTCATAGAACTGCATGTTCTAAAGGAACAAATGAGATAGCTCCTGTATGAGGAGCCCAAACTCTTTTTTCTTTTTCCCTTGACCTTTCTACAGTGACTAATACATGTAGTGTCTCCTTTATCTTGAAACTGACATTGTAAGGCTGCCATGACCTGTTTCCATCCTGTTCTTTTTGATTCCTTATTTTTTGGGGATGTTGGCTTTTACAGCCCTCCATGTTATGCATGCCTCACGCCTTTTCTTTGTCGCCTTCCCCTTCCCCCTGTGATCTCACCCATTCTCATGACTCTTGTCACCTCTTAGCAGGTGACTCCCACCTCCAAAGCTTCCAGCTCTGATGAGTCTTCTGAGCTACAGTTGTGCATTTATTTACACTTAGATATCCTAGCTGTAGCTTCTCTCTCCAGTTTTGTTAATGTGGTCAGTGTTCTCTCTAGACATCCTTCCTCCACTCCTTATCTACATGGCAAATGTGGAGGCAGTTTTGACTTCTTGCTTTGTTTTAATTCTCATATACAGATTTTCAGTCCTTAGTTTCTGCCTCACATGGTTCCTTCATTTTTTCCCCCAGCATTGTTTAACTTAATTAAATTAATTTATTTTGGTAACTGCAGAATGCATTTTAATTCGCCTAACCTGGTGAGCAGCACAGTCCAGCGGCACAGCATGCAGCAGTGTGGTCGTGGTCTCCTCTGCAGTGGCACTGCAGGGTTCACTCCAAACTCTGGCTGGCTGCTGCTCTCCAGGTCTTGAGAAGCGCTGCCTTGTTTTAGTCTTTATTCCCTTTTCACTTGTCAGCTGCACTGATACATTTCCTAGAATGGCTCTTGGCTTTCCTTTTATTTCTAAGCAGGCCTTTCTCTTTATTTCTAGATAGGGTAGATTTCAGAACCTCTTACTTGGGGGGGACTTGCCAGATAGTTCAGTTGTTTAAAGCGCTGCTTGGGCAAATGTAGTTAGGCGCACAGGACCACAGTTCAAGTCCCAGTTCCAGAAGCTGCACCAGACCCGCCCTTAAGGCTGCCTGAAGTAGACAAAAGAAAAAAAAAATCCTTGTCAAATTAAAAATAATAAATAAATTAATTAATTAAAAGAACCTGTCACTTAACAGAGCAGATAGCAGTTTTTAGCCTAAAAACTTAGGGCCTTAGCTTCATTTGGTGCTAGTCCATCATTTCAGTTTCATGGCTCACTGAATACTTCGCTGAACCCTCGGTCGTAACCAAACTGGTTTCCCCACTGTTCTTCATCCTGTACATCACCAATCCAAATCTGCTATCCTTCAGGCTCCTCTTATCTTAAAACACCTTCTAGGACTATAAAAGCTTGTTTTTAAATTCCCAGAAAGGGCCTTTCATTTGACAACTCGTTATGGATGGTCTTATACTATGGCCCTTACCCCGTTTATTCACTTAGACTGCACTGAGGCCAGGTGCTTTCCTCTCCAGCACCTGTACTTCATAGGCCTTGGTTGGTAAATTACCTGTTGAAGGGAGCTTGATAGCCTGTCAAGGTAGAACCTCACAGATCTGACCCCCAGTTCTCTGGCCATGATGATTGTAATCTATCTGATAATCAGGATAGTTTTTCTCTCTGTCTCTTTCTTCCTCTCTCTCCCTTGTATTTCTGTCATTGTCTTCTTTGTTTGGGGAAGATATCCAGGGAGAGGGGTTGCCCTTTGAAAGATGTGCAGTGGAGATGAAAGGAAAAAGCTTGAAAAGAGGAGGAGGACATGGTCTACACAGCTCTTCCGTGACCTGTGACCTGGGTCAGAGGCATAAGCAGAGCCTGCCTGTCATTGCCTCAGGAACTCCTGGGCCTTTTATCCACATTCAAAGCAGTGTTGGTGACTCGTGGCTTTCAGGCCTGCTGAGAGTTTGAGAGCAGGCCTGGTAATGCATGGTGATTATAGACCCCTTGCCATTGCTGCTGACATTCTGTGTGCACTGTGACAGCCTAACTGGAAGCCTAAGAGGACTACACCATCCATGGTGGAATTTCACCTGAGCCTTCAGTTTAGAAGCAGGGAGGAGCAGCTTCTTCCTTGGAGCCGCTTTCCCTGATCTGTCAACACGTTACGTTATAATAATATCATGCTTGGGCAGAGGCAGCATCTGATTTTTTTTTTTTTTTAAATTTGCTTCTGCCCAGGTGTCACACATTCCTGCTGGCTTGAACTGCTGTTGGTACATGCATGGCTATCCAGCAGGCATCTTGTATCTCTGGTGGTATAAGTGGATCTAATCATTTTATTGGTCTTTTTATTAATAAAAAGCTGCCCACTGAGACAGCCATGCATGCAACACCAGTGGTTCAAGTTGCCAGCACTGAGGCCTGAATTATGGCCCTGTTGTGAACTTGTTCAGCTGCTTTCTCTCCCAGAGTGACCACGAGGAACTTGAGACTTGACAGCTTGTGCTTCCCTTAATGCTGTGCTCCGAGAACTGGGTAGTTGAAGCTTCTCTTCCCTCCTTTTAGCTGGGGACTGACATGTTGCCTCCTGTCCTACAGAAAGTTGTACAAGCGCTATGCCTTCCTGCGCTGCGACGACGAGAAGGAGCAGTTCCTCTATCACTTGCTCTCTTTTAATGCTGTCGATTACTTCTGCTTCACCAATGTCTTCACAACGATCTGTGAGTACCTATGTGCTCCCCACTGGCCTGCTCAGGACCCCTTGTGAACCTGCCCTAGACTTGCTCACTGTCCCTTTTTTTAAAAAAATACATTTCCAGTCTTGTACCATCAGAGGTATATGCAGACTGTCCCATCAAGTGGCTTGTACTCTGATGGGACTGTCCCATACCATCTATTGGATCAGTCGTGCATGTACCTCTGGTAGTTCAAAGCCATCCGGCAGTGAGACATATGAATGACAGCCCCATCATGAACATGTTAAGGAAAATGCCTTGCGCTTCCTGTCTGCCTTTTGCTTCTTTGGGAAGAAGCAAGGAGGAGCAGCTCCTTCCTTGGAGCTATATTCATATTTTCTGGGAAAATTCTTGTTCTTATCTGATTGGCTAAGCACAAGCCTTTTGACCATCATGTGCTCAGTGCTGTCTTGAGCATTGCGCTGGGAGCCCAGGTGATGAAAGTGAAGTGGGGCAGGGTAGGGAGGTTAGGGCACCTCTCTCCCTGTGTGGCTATAGAGAGTCTTCTGACCCGAGAGGTCCTTTGGCGAAAATTTTGGAGCAGGCCTAAGAGAGAATGAACTCCAAGTGGCAATAGGTTTGAGTCCAGACTGTCCCTGTCCCTGACTCATGATGTATGTGTGAGCAGCATCCACCTCTGCAGTGGGCCTCAGTCGCCCTATTTGGGGAGTGAGAGGTTTCAGTATGGTCCTAGGCTCTTTGAAGCTCTTCGTTCTCTAATGCCAGGATTCTTTAGTGGGTGGGTAGTTCTTTGGCCAGACATTCTGGTGCCTCAACTGCATGCTCTTGTTCTCATCTGATGCCTGTCTTTCCTCTCAAGAGACCAGGGCTGTGGCTTAGTAGAAATAGCATCACACTGGAATTTAGAATACCGTGTTTCCTCTCTGTTCTGTGAACAGGGATGCAATGTCTGTGTGGCCTCTCCAGTGACTGTTAAAGGTGTTATTAGGGTGCATGAGATAAGAGATTGAAAGATACTTTGAAACACAGATCAGTATGATGTCAGAAGTTGGTGATATTGTTTTTTAAAAAGCTCATTTAGTTCTAACCCATAGATGGGCTTGAACTTTGGATTTTTTTTTTTTGTTTGTTTTGTTTTGTTTCTTTTCTTTTTTTTTTTGAACTTTTGATGTTTGGGCATTGACCCTTGGGGAAATGAGGTTGGAGAGGGATTGGCTAGCACTCTAGACCGTCCAGGGCTGGGTCTGCTGGAGCTGGCCTAGTAGGAGCTGCAGTCATGCCAGTCTGCAGGGCAGGCCAGGAAGCTCAGGTACGGGAGGGGGCCCTCATTCCCCACAATGCCTTTTGTGGCTTTCCTCAAACAGTGATACCATACCACATTCTCATCGTACCAAGCAAGAAGCTGGGGGGCTCCATGTTCACGGCCAACCCATGGATCTGTATCGCAGGAGAGCTGGGTGAAACACAGGTCCTGCAGATTCCCAGGAATGTGCTAGAGATGACCTTTGAGGTGCGTATTGTCTGGGGTACACAACACCCATCTCTGTGGGTATCTAAGTTGCAACAGCTGCTTTGGGGAGTTTTCTGCAGGGATTTATGGAGGCCTTGCTCTGCACAGTGTTATGTGTCAGAGTGCTGACTTGTCCTGAGATGATCTGAGGCTGGAGCCTCAGGATGTTGACCTCAAGGAAGGGAGCCTGCCTTTCCCATCCAGGCTCTGGTTGGAAGGCATTTATTTGTCCAGGCTAACATACTTCCTTGTGCTTGGTATATTGAGAAATCCCAGAGTTCTTTCAGCTGTTTAGCCCAAGTGTTCCTTGAGACTGCTAGACCCAGAGCCTCCCGTGCCAGGCCATATTCTTCTGAGTAGCAGATCTTCTTTCTCAACTGTAAACTACTTAAGAATAGTGCTATAGGGGCCGGGGAGATGGCTCAGTGGAATAAGCGCTTGCCTGGCAAGCTCAGGGACCTGAGTTCAATCCCTGGTTCCACAAAAAAAAAAAAAAAAAAGAATAGTGCTATAGCACCACGCCGGGCAGCGGTGGAGCTCTGAGCTCTCTGTGCAGATGCTGAGGGTCCAGGTAGGCAGCCAGTCAGAGGATTGCCACTCTTTTCTGTTTTCCTGACCTGCCCTGTCCTTTGTGTTCTCTCACAGTGCCAGAATTTGGGGAAGCTCACTACTGTCCAGATTGGCCATGACAACTCTGGGCTGTATGCCAAATGGCTTGTGGAGTATGTGATGGTCAGAAATGAGATCACAGGACATAGCTATAAGTAAGTGTTCCCTCCCTGTGCCTGGCAGAGGTGGAGCAAGATGTACCACGGGGCTATCTTTGTGGCTTGTAGATACGCATTTTCCAGGAACCTCTTTGATAGGCTGAGGCAACTTCCTGTTGGCTCTCTTGTACTAGAAAACAAACAGAAGAAGAGTTCCAAAGTGAAGATGTATGGTATGCTGTGCTCAGGTCTCAGACTGCCCATGCCATTCAGGTGGCTTCTCTGATGATACATAGTGTGATGAACAGGGCCTCAAAGGAGTCATAGCCTTTCCTTAGGGATGAGCTTTGTTAATGGCTCTTGTTGAGCAGCAAAGGTGGAAAGACGCTGGAGGACCTGGAAACTCTGATGGGCCTTTGCCTATCTTTAGGTTCCCATGTGGCCGGTGGCTAGGGAAGGGCATGGATGATGGAAGCCTGGAGCGGGTCCTAGTTGGGGAGCTGCTCACATCCCTGCCGGAGGTGGATGAGCGGCCATGTCGGACCCCACCACTGCAGCAGTCCCCCAGCGTCATCCGGAGGCTGGTCACCATCTCGCCCAACAACAAGCCCAGTAAGTGGGGGCAGGGAAGGGCCCTTCATGCCACTCAGTTTAGGAATGGACAGATTTCCAAAGCACGCAGCCCAAGCTATGCACCTGCCTGAGGAACCACCTCTGCTGACTGACCCACCAGAGAGATTTGGCTCCTCCTCGTAGGGCCAGTAATAGTATGTGTACTCTCAGAGGCTTGGAAGGAGAAGGAAAAGCTCATGTGGCCCAGTCTGGCTGCTCTTTAATACTTTCGCATGATTTATAGAAGAAGGGTGTACTCTTTAGCCCTCATCCTTATTTATAGGCTTCACAGTCAAGTCTTGGCTATTTGTTGTCAGAAATTCCAGGGTAAAATGAAAAATACATTTTACTGGCATATCTTAGAACTTAGAGCTAAAGCATTAACTTTAGCTTTCCCTCCCATATTTTGGGAAGAGCTATTTCAACAAAGTTGGGTGGGTAAAATTCTGTGTTTCCTGGGGTCTAGCTACCCTGTGTGTCCTCATTTCCTATTCAGGCACCTAAGTACTCTGAGATTGATGAGAGCGTTCTGCTTGATTTTTATTAGAGCTGAACACCGGGCAGATCCAGGAATCCATCGGGGAGGCAGTCAACGGCATTGTGAAGCACTTCCATAAGCCCGAGAAAGAGGTGAGCCTTCCCACCCCTTAGCCCAGGGCTAAGTGGAGTAAAAGAGAGTCATATAGATTTTGCGCTTTTCTTCCTGAGCTCCCCAGGTTTATGTGTTTGTGGACAGTCCAGAATCTGGTAGAGAGTGTGCCTCACCTAGTGGGGTGGAGCTGATTCTGTCCTTCCTTGCCTGTGGTTCTGATTCTTCCACACTGATGACAGTGTGCTCTATGGGGTCCCCCGGTAACCATGCTGATTCCTGTCTGACAAGCCTGGGTCTCTGCACACAGTGGCTATGCTGGCTTTGATTCTTCCTGGTCGGGAGTGTCCTTGTGTGTGACCTGGATCCATCATCTGTTCCTCACCATTCCCTTGCAGCTGTTTACTGAGCGCTGCTCTGAGCCAGAGTGCACTGTGCCAAGAACTGGGGAATAGGGTTGATCCCTGCAGTCTGTTGCCAACTCTGGGCTATGGATTTGAGGACGTGGTGCTGGGAGGTGGCGCAGCTAAGACCACCCTGTTACTCACCCCTGTTTCCTTACCTAGCGAGGCAGTCTGACGCTGTTGCTTTGTGGAGAGTGTGGGCTTGTCTCAGCACTGGAACAGGCTTTCCAGCATGGATTTAAGTCACCCCGGCTCTTCAAGAATGTTTTCATTTGGGATTTCCTGGGTGAGTTGGGCTAGGGTATGAAGGTAGGAAAAGTGTGTGTCGGGGTCCCCAACATGGATGGGTACAGACTCCAAATCAAGCAGCTCAGATCTGCCGTTTGCTTGTTCTGGTTTTACTTGCTGGGAATGACAGGAGCCCTCTTTTCCTTCTCCAGTGAATCTTTAACCTTCTAAGAACTTGGAGAAAATTCTTTCTGCTCTTATCCAGCATGGGCTTAATCCAGAGTCTCACTTTCTCTTTGTTGATCCAAGAGGCCAGTTGAAAGTAGTGGAGCCCAGGCACTGTGTATGATGTCCACTCAGAGAATGTTCATGGAAGAAGCCATCTCTAGAGCTGTATATTATCTTCAGACTAGGGAAAAGACCAATTTATATTAAAGGCACATAAATAAAATTTAAAAATAAGGCTCATTTTGAAATACGTTTAGTGATTTCCGAGCATTCATGTTATTTTTTGAAGTTGTCTGCATGGATTTGAAAAGGTTTGCACAATAAACAGGTAGGCTTTAAGAGCCTTTGTCACTGGCAGGCTTTTCTGTTCTTCACAGAAAAAGCACAAACCTATTATGAGACATTGGAGCAGAATGAGGTAGTCCCTGAGGAAAACTGGCATACAAGAGCTCGGAACTTCTGCCGATTTGTCACTGCAATCAACAACACTCCTCGAAACATCGGCAAGGACGGCAAGTTTCAGATGCTGGTGTGCTTGGGAGCCAGGTACTGTAGCCCTAGGGCCCAGGGTGCATGACAGCCAGGCTCAGAGGTGGTGCCAGAGTTCAGTGTCATGGGGGGTGGTGGTAGAAGTGTTCAGGGACTCTTGGGCAGGGGATGCCTTGAATGACTTTTGTTTTGGTGATGGGGATCAAACTCAGGACCTTGCACTTCTCAGGCTGGCACTTATGCCGTTGAGCTATCTCCCTGGCCCCTGAATGGCTTCTTAGAGGCTGTTAATGTCTATTGTATACCCCCTGTATGTATGGGAATCTGTTGGGGAACAGCAGGTATAATTGGCAGAAGTGGGGCCATGTTTTCATAGGAAGATTCAAACTTATCCCAACTGGGGAAATTGGAAGCAGAACACATACGTATTTATTTCTTTGGTAAATATTTGAATCTGTCAGACCTTATGGAAAGTGGTAGGAAGAGAACTGAATAAAACATGTCCCTTCCATTTAGAAGTTTACTTGTTCCAATTTTAAAAAGCCAAAGATTGTGAGAATCCCCCAGAGAACTAGCCACTCTTAAGTTTTGTTGAAAATGTAGAAGAAAAAGATCAGAGAAGGCTTCAGAGAGATGATTTGGAGATGAGCTTTTTGTGAGGGAGAACTGTTAGAATGTAGGAAGGGCTGTGACAGGCAACACGGTTGGAAGCAAGGGCTCCTGAGGACCAGGGACAGGCCCTATTAAGACAGCATTATTTGTCAGGGGACTGAAGTAACACGAATTTGACACAGGTGCTGTGCAGTGAGAATGACTGGGAGGGGCTATTCCACTGTGTCAGGTGAGAGAGCATTAAGCCCAAATAAACTTGAGGCAGTAGCTTATTCAGGGCATATAAAGGAGAAGGTTAAAAGCAGACTAATCTAGGCACCATTCAGGAGGCTGAGGCAGGATGCCTTGAGCTTAGGAGCTTGTGGACAGCCTAAGCAACATAATAAGACTGTGGGTCAAAACAAAACAGACACACACAGACTCCAGAACCAGATGTGCCAGTTCACATCTCAGGTCAGTCACTAATGTGTGATCTTTGACAAGCTATTTAATCTCTGTAACTGAGTTTCTTCATCTGTGAAGTGGAGATAGAGACGCACCTACCTCGTAGCCTAGGGCTGTCATGACGGCTAACTCTCATAACTGCCGGCTTGTGTGAAGTCTTGTGGTTTGCCCATGATGGGTAGATGAAAGAGTAGTGCCCCCTGCAGCCTGCGTGAGCTCGGGTTGGTGTCCCAGGCCTGGGCAGCTTCCAGTGGGTGCCAACCTCGGTAGGAGGGGAAGGGGGCTGTGAAGCTGGCAGCGCCTCCAGCCTCAGACTTAGTTCAAGTCTCCACCCAACCTTGTGTCGTGTCTCCCTTTTCCCCTGCCTCTCTCACTGGCCCTGGCCATTGCTGTCTGTCAGGGATCACCTGTTGCACCACTGGATCGCTCTGCTGGCCGATTGCCCCATCACTGCACACATGTATGAGGACGTGGCGCTCATCAAAGACCACACACTGGTCAACTCTTTGATCCGTGTCCTGCAGACGTTGCAGGAGTTCAACATCACGCTAGAGACATCCCTCGTCAAGGGCATCGACATCTGACCTCCCGCACCAGCCAGCAGCAAGAGCAGGAAAGATGCCTGCAGCTCTGCCCTTCTTCCCAAAGGGACCCACGCAAGTTGTGCAGAGCATGGAGAGGGGGAGTTGTACACTCACTGTAAAAAGAAAACTAGAGGATTTTTGGAAAAAAATAATCTATTTTAGAGTTTATTTGCTGATTTGCTTTTTACACACTTTCATGTGAAAGAGTGATAGTGAGAGGGAGCGAGGTTGGTGCCGCTTATTTTGAAGCTGGTGCCTCCTTCGCGTGGCCACACACGGCGCCGTGGCCTCCTGGACTGAGCCCGCTTGGGCGGCTCCGCCTCCTTGCCCCGCCGTGTTGATGAGGCCATTCCACATCGTTTTTAACTAATGTTTTCTATATTAACATTATTACGGATGTTTGGCTCTCATGGGCCACACACAGGTGTGCTGAGCAGGAAGCCCGCGCTCCGGCCAAGGGGTTTTAGTAGTGCCTCTAAGCAAGCGCTAGGAGCCAGCCCCATGTCATGTTTTTGGGTTTTTGTTTTGGTTTTCTTGGTCAGTATTATTTGGGAAGGAGACATGCTGAGATGTGTCACACACTGTCGCCATGCAGAGAGGCACGTCTCCTCTTGGCACACAGTTGCACAGAAGTAAACATAAGCATGTTTTAACAACTTTTCTTTTTCTTACACCTTATTTAATGCTCCGTTGTGTGTTTTTAAGTATTTCTTTTTCTTTTCTTTTTTCTTGTTTTAAAGAAAGGAAAAGCTTGTCACGATCTTAACTGGCTATGTTATTACTGTTAAATTTATGTTCTGCAACTTAGAAACCAGCTACCATATGGCCCACTTAATAAACACCTGAAACAAAACTTACTGCATGTGTCACTGAGTTTATGGGGGGTGATCAGTCGGTGGCAGAGGCCAGCCTGTGCATCGCCCTTCCTGCCAGTTTGACCTCAGTGGGCTGTGGCTGCCCACGATGTTGCTGCCTGGGTAACTGAGAGGGATGCACATCAGGGTTATGTTCCCACTCCACAGAGGAGCCTGAGGAGCAGAGGGGAAGACCAAGCCAGGATTACAAGGATTGTCACTGGGCTGAGACAGGATGGGCCACTTCTTAACAGGGTAAGGAAGAAAGCCTGTGGGAACGTGGGACACAGAGGACCCTGTCTTCCCAGAGAGAGAAAGCAAACCATCCAGGGCTGGCAAGTGGGGGAATTTATATTATAAAGTCTTCCCAAATGCCCTGGACAGTCAGTCATTACAGCATCATGGTCCTAGAAAATTCTTTGGATGCTTGCACTTCCTTTGCCTGCTTCGTGCTGGGCCTGCTCCCTCGACTGTGAGTCCAATAGGGCCAGTGGGGCTGAGGGAACCTCTTGTCCCAGTCATCTCTGTGCCTGGTGAGTGGTGAGAGTCCCTGAGGACTTTTGGAAGGCCTGAAGAAGGGAGGCAAGGAGAGCTGCAGTGCAGAGTCCTGCCAGCAGGGGCCGCGAACAGGCCGGACTGCACCCAGCCCCTGAAGGCCAGTCTTCAGTAATTTTGAAGGTAGCAAGGGAAGGGGAGGATGGGCTCTGCCTCTGGAGCAGGAAAAAAGGATTCCTGGCCGAGAAAGAAGGGAGCATGAGACTCAGCTGTCTGTGTGTTACTGGGGGCCTAGGCCCAGACTTACCTTCAGGTAGGAGTTTTACCAACATTCCTCTCCCTTTCTCTTACAACTCTGTAAGACAAGTGTAGGTTATCCTGGGTGTGCAAGTAAGGAAACAGAGGCCTAAGAAGTCCAGTTGCTTGTCTAAGGCCACACAACTCTGTTTTGTGGCTATTTTCAGAGAGACATCCTAACCACCTAGAATGACTGACTGGTTCCATCAGTCACTTTTTATTCCTTTAGTCTGTTCAATTTTCCTTGCTAATATGTGCAAATATTTCACTGTTTATTCTAAAAGCAACTCTTAGAAAAGTGAGGTTTCATCCTCTTTGTTCATCAGATAGTATCTGATGCACGATAGGTCCCTGTGTTTATAGAGTCATAGATAAATGTGTTGACAGTGGTTAAGAGTACAAAGTATTGGAGCTGAATTTCTTAAGTCATATCTTTGCTTGATTCCTGGCATAGAGATAGCTGAGCCCCAGACTCCCATCTTCCAGAAAGAGGAAAATGCTGTGGGAGTGTGATGCCAGGAGGTATTGACCATGCCGAGTTCTGAGAGCATGGCGGGCTGTCAGGAGTGGGCATAAGGTGCTACGAGGCTAGCACGCATGAAAGGCCTGGTGGTGTGAAAGTGCCCAGGGTGAAGCTCAGGAGCCCGGAGTCCTGCCCACACTTGGGATGATGCAGGTTCATGGGCTCCCTCCCTACAAAATGAGAGACAGGGCTGACAGGTACTGAAATGCCATGAGGAAATGTGGATTAACTGGGTCATCAATACATGGAGGCACAAAAATCAGAGTCATGTCACCAGGGGTGGCTTTCTTGTGTGTGACAGCTGTTGTGGCTTTCCTTGTGTGACAGAAATGGAAGCTGTGAACTGAGCACAGCTGCTGGGCTGGGCAGCCCGGAGATGAGATGAGGGTGTGTCTCATTGCAGTGTGTCTCAGAGCGGCTGAGGGAGTCCCAGGTGACATGCTCATGATCAGTGGATCTGGTTACCAGCTCTTGACTGACTCCGTGTTCAAGGGGCCATGTGTCTCAGGGAACAGCAGCGCTTAGGTAATTGGGCACAACCCTCCTCCTTTGTCTTGGTAATCTTTGGCAGTGTTCAAGACAGTCATGGAGCCACCTGCCCACGGGTGGAGACGGGTCTCTCCCTGCAGCTGATGATTCTGTGATGGACACGCACCATCCCACATCTGTGCATTAGTGAGGGCGTTGGCAGCATGGCAGCAGAGGAGCTACACCCTTTCCAGCAGATACGGCTGAGAAGATGGCCGTGGGCCTGTCGTACACGCCCGACGCTCCTAATTGCTGATTCTGCTGTGAATGTCTCCCTACTGTGCTTTGTTTTATAATCTGCTGCAAATCCTTCCTGGAATGCTGTGATAATGTAGCTCGGTATTTCAAGGACGCTCGAGTCAGTTGCATTCCCTGTGGGGCCCTGCCAGGCACCCCCAGCATCTTAGGGTAAATCGGGCACATTTCGTCCAACCAGCAAGGGGCGCCGTCTGTTGGCCTTTGCACCTGCTCCGATTCTCTGCTTTCCATACTGAGGTTGCAGGGACTGGTAAGTAAACAAGCAGGTGAGCTCAGTGGATTTGTATAAACCACACACCCTTGTCAGCACCCCCAGGTCAAAAATAGAACCCTCCAGACCCATTTTACATGCTAGCCCCAGTTGCCTCGCTCCTGAGTTCTTAGGTCAAGTAGTCATTTCCTTGAGTTTCTTTTTCATTCTTAACACCCAACTGTGCACTCATTCTCCTTTAAAGTTTTCCAATACACTTTTAAGTTTCTTAATTTTTTTTTTTTTTTTCCAATACTGGGGATCAAACTCAGGACCAAGCAGCTTCAGCTGCTGAGCTACCTGCCCGGCCCAAATCTCTTAATCTAAAGGGCCTGCTCTACTCTTGTCTTTTCCTTACAATTTGTTGAAGAACCTGGGCCAGTCAGCGATGGCTGTATGACACTCATGCCACAGTGGGTTGTTTGTATCACTGAAAGCTCTAAAAGTTTGGCCGTCACTGTCCAGGCATTTGATCTGAGGAGTTCTCAGCTTGCATTTTGCTGATTTCTTGGTCATGGTACAGATCAGTGTACCACTTTTGTATCCTCTGCGTTTCTTGCAAGTCAGCAGCTAGATCCAGAGACTTAATTTGCTGCAAGTTTGCCAGCTGCAATGGCGAACACCTCTAATCCCAGCACTCTGGGAGGCTGGAGCAGAAGAATCAAAGGTTAAGCCCACATTGGGCAGTTTAGCAGGACCCTGTCTCAAAAATGAACAGAGGGCTGAAGATATAGCTCAATGCCACAGGACTTGGGTTCATACTGTAGTAGTGAAAAACTAAAACACAAAAACCCCTCAGTTTGATTGCTTTGATGATCCTCGGTGGTAGTTGGCTCAAATAATGTTTGGAAGCAAATGTTTGGTCATTACATTGAATTTTCAATGCCTATATCCAACAAATGTAGGTAACTTGAGGTTGCTACATAGGGATATTACAGGCTATCCTTTTGTTTGTTTCTTATGTAGAATGTAGGGGTTCTTTGTTTTGTTTTTGAGACAGGGTCTCACTATGCAGTTCAGGTTGGCTTTGAACTCACTATGTAGCTCAAGCAGGCGTTGAACTCTGCGATCTTCCTGCCTCAGCCTTCTGAGTGCTGGGATTACAGGCACGTGCCACCATGCCCAGCTATATGGAATGGTTTTGTAAGGAGACATTCCCTTTTCTACTGTTGATTTCCCAGTAGAGTTTGTGTAGGAAAAGTAGTACCTAGAAGCTGCCAAGCCTGATATTCTCACTGGCTTAAACCACCTGTGGTTCAGAGCCACCTGGCAGTGAGACGCGAAGTATAGCCCTTTTGTGAACACAAGATTACACTTAATTTTTCCTGTTATTTACCCAACTTTTAAGAAAATAAACTGGTTCCCTATCATCTTCAGAAGATGACTGTTTAAAAATATTATGAACTCGTGGATAATTACACTCCATTGCAATGATTACCTTTATTGTTCTATCTTTGACCATTGGGAGCCTCATGGATCAGTCATTCCTTCCAAAAGCCCTAGCTTCTTTAAATGAGAAATGGTCCTGCAAGGCTATACTTGGGCACCAGAGATGCTCCTTGGTACAAGGAAGTCATGTCTAAGTTTATTCAGTAGACAAAGCTTGCATTTATATCTAAGTGGCATCTTTATTTTATGTAAATATCTAGAAAAAGGTAAAATTAATATGCATATTTAGAGGCATTATTAGTAAAACCTAGAAATTATATGTTAAGCTGGGCAGGGTGGCACATGCCTGCAATCTCAGGACTTGGGAGGCTGAGGCAGGAGTGTCACTGACAGTTCAAAGCAAGGCCAGCCTGAAGTACAACACATGCGAGACCTTGTCTTAAAAAAAAAAACCAAAAGTGTTAAATACCAACATAAATATGTATGTGTGTATCACCCATATAGCCCATTATTTTATAGTCGTATTTTTAAATTCACGATCATAGGATTTTTATTTTTTTATATAGCACATCTTTATCTTTTTTTTCTACAATGAGAACATTCTTTTTTTTGAAACCTTTTTTAAGAGTAGGAAAATTTATGAGCGAAGGGCCAGCCAAATAGCTCAGCAAATTAAAGTGCCTGCAAGCAGGTGCAGGGGCCGGAGGTTCAATCCCCAGGCTTGCCGTGCTGGCCCCGCCCCCAGGGTGCACTGAGAGGGCATTTGGGCATGGTGGCGTGCGCCTGTAATCCCAGCTCTTGGGAGGCTGTAAACAGGCGGCTCACTATGAGTCTGATCTAGTAGTGAGACCCTGAACACCCTGTAGACCCTTCCCTAAAATACAAAAAAAAAAAAGAAAAAATTTATGAGAGAGAGAGAGAACACTCCTGAGAGACTGGAAGGATGCAGATGTGTTGCCTGAGAACATGGTTTTCCAAGGCTGATAGACTGGAATGTCCTCTGATTAGCCACTTTATACCACATAATACAGCAGTCTCAAAATAATAGTACTAATACTTCCACCAACAATTCAGGTCATGGGAAATGGTTAAATAGGTGTATGGTTTGTGTTTTTTTTTTTTTTTTTTTCATCCCCATCCTTACCCTACCTCTACTTTTAAAATGGTTGTCCTCTGTCTCTGACCAATCATTTACTGTTGCTGTCAGCTTGTTTTTTATTTCTGTGTTTTGAGAAGCAGAAGCCAAGGCAGGCAACACC